TTTTGTTTTTTCTAGCTTGTACGTGAAAGTGAAACTAAAATGAACCTCTAGTTGAAGGGGAAAACCAGCGCGATAAAGTCTACTTTGTTTGAGTGTCAGACAGCAAGAAGAAGACACAATCATGACGAACTGCTCTACGATCTACAAACTGTCGCTGGTTGCAGTGGTGTGCTTCATTAAAGGTGAGGTTGCGCTAACAGTCGAATAATTGAATCCGTCGTCGATATGTTGCCTCTGCTGCTGCCACATAGCCTACCATAGACCAGAAATATAACCGATGCGTGTTTTCTCATGTAATGACATGAGCTCCGTGGACAACATGAACATTCATATTAATGTGCATATCTTCAACTGCAGCAAATTTGGAAAATATGTATTAAGATATTCTGTTGCTTATATACTTAATAATATTATAGAAAAGTCAATACCTATAGCAAAACAGCTGTCTATAAGTATAAGTTGACAATGGAGTCGTGTGCATGACTTTAACTTTAAAACTCAAACTATTTAAATATAGTTATATGTGATTCTCCGTCAGATTCTTCATACACCGAATCAAGCATGGAATGCATTCACGTAATATAACGTGTGAAACAATGTCCTGTTCATCGCACACTGTTAACTTTAACATGGATTACTTTAAATGAAGGTACATTTCCAAAGGGACGTTGGTGTGAAGCGGTCAGTGCAGCAGCGCGCTCTCGTGGCCGAAAGTGTTCCCGGAAACAACAACTCGAGGTCTCACTGAATGAATACACGAGACAGCTGAAAAACATAGACATGATGATACAGCACATAGGCCGAACTGTGTTCGACTTTCTACAGAACACTTCCCACTCTGTCAGAAGTTTTGTTTAATGTCTAAACATTGACATAAAAGAGCAAAGAGAATAAAAGTGAAAGCAAAACTCTGAACCACTTCAGTCAGCCACAGAGTATTTAGCTCCCGAAAGGGGGAGTCATAGGGTTTAGGGTTTGATTCTTGCAATGTCCTGATGTGTTTTTGTATTTCCAATGACATTAACTTATTTTATAGTAGATCGATTCCATAAAAGGTTGTGGAAGGATACTAGAGACACAACGATTTATTGGTAAATATTAGGGGATTTTTGGAGTGTTGCCACTGAATAATACAAAATGCTGTGGACTTTAATATCAGAATATAGTGTAATCTGAGTATTATATTCCTGTTCCACTGTGGCTTTGTTTTTATATTGTTCCTTTCTTGTTGGATCTATTGTCTGAAGCCTGCAGCAGCAGCTGTCCAGTGTTGGAGTGCTGGTTGGTGCAGGAGAAGACGGGTCGAGGAGGAGGTTTAGCTGCAGCTACAAGCCAGGAGAAATCCCTGCTTCACGTCCGAACAGACCGCCACACCGCAGAGACCCAACAGGCTCCGTCCAACATCGACCCCGACAGAGTCTACTTTATCAGCGGTCAGTTCAAAATGACACGCAGAACGGGATGTGTGACCGCACATGTATGTAGATGTGTGAGAGAGAATTCTGTATGCACTGGGTGTAATTCAGTGTGTGTGTGTGTGTGTGTGTGTGTGTGTGTGTGTGTGTGTACTCTTCTGTATACCTTCAAAGTAAATGGAGAGCATTAAATAGATGCGCTACACAAATGCAGCAATCATGTTTTAGCTACGTATTCTCTGCGTCCTCTACACTTTTTTTTCTTTTTACATATAGAACAAACCTTTCGTGTTTAATATTACATCAATAATATAGATCTATGGGTTCAGTGTGGCTTAATTTCATCATTTATTTTTTTCCAGGCTTAAACTTGAATTTCTCAGCCAAGTATTCCATAATTAACTAGAAAGGTATCAGAAAAGGAAACAAAAAAGTATTGTGATTTTCCTAGTATTTATCTCTCTGCCATCTCCCTCTTTAGATTTTCTGATTTCTTTTACGTAGAAGCAGAGCGAGCATCTGTGACCTGCTTTTAACCATAGCGACGGAAACATGTGACCCGTCTGACTCCTGTTTACTCAGACCCAGCTGCCACTCTCTGCCACCGCTCTCTCAATCCTCCCAGAGGCTCAGTCGAGAAGCCCCAGTGTGAGATCAACCCCTTCCTGCCGCAGCCCTCCACCCTCAAATGGGTCGCTCCACTCACAGACTCCGCCTCCAGCCCCATTTACCTGCAGGCTGACTGGTTTTCCACCGCCCTTCAGGGCCTCAACGGACAGCTGGCCATTTCCACTATCACGCGTGCTCCCACAGCAACCAAAGAGCAGGATGGTAATGATTTATGACACAGAAGACCAGTCCGAAAAATGATGATTGTTACCAAGGGCCACCCACAACATGGTTGAGATGCGTACACAAAAATGTAATTGACTTGACTCTCTCCTCCTCACTGTCTGTCTCCTCAGTGATCCTGAGTGTGACCACTAAAACCGTCTCGGTGCAGTCCAGACTTGGGGAACCAGTGTTGCTGGACTGCGGCTTCTGGGTCGACCCCTCCTCGCCTCTGTCCGGGTTGGGTTTTGCCGTAGAGTGGCGCTACCAGTTCCGAGGCGACGGACGCTTGGTTCTGGCCTACGACGGCAAAACGGACCGCTTGGCTGATGTCCAAGAGGAAGGGGCCACGCTGGACTTTGAGGGTTTGCGCCAGAAAGGGAATGCGTCCCTGATCCTGCTGGAGGCTAAAGTGCGTCACTCCGGGATGTATATTTGTACGGTGTATCTGCCGTACCTTGTGGCTCAGGTGGCGTTGGAGCTTGAGATTATAGGTGAGGGAAAGGGGAAACTGTTATTGTTTAGTATCTGCTGTCATACAACGCTGAAATAAACTAATTATTCCGTTTGGAAATTAGGAGCTCATAAGCTCCAGAAGAACCTAGATTTCATTGAACCAGATTGTTATTAACGTTCTCTTACCGTCTTTCCTTTTTTCTTTGCTCCTCCGCTCTTTTCCCCTTCTACCCAGAACCTCCATCCCTCTCCATCCACCCGTCCCCTCTGCCCCTCGCTGTTCCCGGCCGGAATTTGACTGTCCAGTGTGAGGCGTCCGGCTTTGCCCCCCTCTCCCTGGAACTGAGCTGGGAGTTCAAAGGCACCGATGGGAAGTCCAGGCCTCTAGGATCAGGCAGCGTAACGGGCCACAGGCAGGCCTGGGATGGAACCTATAGCCAGAGCACCCGGCTGGAGCTGGACACAACCAAGCTGGACCTGGGCCCAGGAGGGGAGGTCACCTGTGTGGCTGTCCATCTTGGAGGCACACGACGGGCCAGCGTGACCCTCAATGTCATTGGTAAGGCTGAATGATTTATTGTCTAAGACATTTATGAAGCTCTTTCGGCGTCAGTGGGTTTGAACGTTTTTGTTCAATAAGTAGAGGCCAGGTGGTGATTTTTCTGCATGTTGCCAGGAATGGTTCAATTAGAAAAGGCAGGCATATCAATGTAAAACCCGATGTTATTTGAAATTTTGGTTATTATAATATACTGTAGCCTACATGTTGCATTTTCCTGGTTTTAAAGGAAGCGTTACAGTTATGTGATGCCATTTTCTATTTACAAGGTGCAATGTGTAAGATTTTACTTTAAAACATTGAAAAAAAATGAGTGAACATTATCAACAGAGTGTGAAGAGCTTACATTGCTGACGTTACGTTAAAGACGTGGAGAGGCGAGGGTGAGTCACTGTAGCGTCCAGTCTGCCCTCAGCCCAGGACGAAGAACTACAGTCGTTCTCTTGTCTCTGCCACCAGACAAACTGTCAAACAGGAAGAAACCTTGGAGAGAGCAACAGAGGAGGATCCTCTATCAGGACAGAAGTGTGATAGATGTCATGTGTACAGAATGAACAACACAACAGAGTTACAACACATTCAATGCATATCACATACATGATTCATGTAATGAGAGTAGTAAGCAGAATAATGATGGAAAAATGATGACTACTAATATTAACATCAGAAGTGGATATAGTAGAATAACAATGATAACAAAAGCAGTAATGGTATCGGCAATAGTAATAGCAATGTGACTACTAATAATAATGATAGTAGCAGTGGGTGTCAGCAGGACCACGGCAGGAGGAAGGACCAGGGACCAGATATAACCACGATCCATGGAAGCCTGAGAGGAGAGAAAGCACAAAGACGTTACACAGACCATAGCACAGTTAGTGGCACAGTAAACACACAGATGGCTAACTATGGGCCTGTGGCACACGTGAAGATTATAAAATAGTAGTGTTATTTTGACTCCGAATTTACGTATTCTTGCCCTGCTGTTAGTTAGTAGTTGTCTTTTTTTTTAAAACAACTGTAAATTGTGATTGTATGGACTCAGGTGTAGAGGTGAAATGCTGCCCCCTATGCTTTTGGAGCGGGTGGACAGGTATTACACATTGCACCTTTAGTTCAATGAACAGTGAATGTCTACCTGCTTGGATATCCACCCCTGCATTTAGTTACATCTATACATACAATAGATATGTGTTCACCAGCAGTCACACCTTGAATATCATCATTTAAAGACATAATGAATCTGACATATGTCATAGAGAGACTGCTACTCATTGAGCTGGATTATGGTCATTGTATGCTGTTTGGCCAGTAAAACATACTCATGAATGGCAAAGCTCATCCTCTTTAACATATTTTCAACGGAGATACGATTAGTTTAAGACATCTACTCTGTGTGATGGCTCTGGTGGAATATGTAACTCTTAAAATGAATTACTTTCATTAAGCTTGTCGACTAAGATGCAAGTCAAATGTATAGGAATCAATTATGTTTAAACTCCTCTTTTGTCTTTTCAGGGCTCAGCACCCCCTCCATTGAGGACTCGATGGCAATGGTCGGTGTAGCGCTGGTGCTCTACGGTCTTATAAAGTTCGTCTCTTGGACCTTCACCAGCTCAGGTAACAAATAATCCAGAAAGAATGCCATGTATACTAACAGTAATAATCGATTGTCTGCACCCATTTCATTATTTTAAACTGCAAGACAGATTGATATTTAATAAGATGCATTAATATATTTCAATTCCATTTCTGTATATGACTTTTTTATCTTTTCACTGCACACAGGCTCAGATGAGGCTGGTCAACAAGACAAGGTAATGTTACCTTTTCAAATATTTATTCACAAAATGTATAATTCTGAATGTTTTCACACAGACCACTTGTCTACTTGTACTTTATTATAATCCTGGTGCTGCTCCCGGGTGTTTTGCATGTCTCATTTCAATAATAACTTTCCACTTCTACTTACAGAAAGACAAGTAAAGAAGAACGAAGTCAACTGCTGTGGAAGTGTGATACTGAACCAACAAGCCTGTCTGTTTTGATATCTAGGATGGGGTTTCAGAAGTGACTATCCTCCAGACAGTTATGTCTTTTAGTTTAAGGCTATTGTGTCTCTCAATTTTACCTTTTTTTCACAGGTCCAGTTCTGCTAGGGTATCAGTGGCAAAGGGCTTCTGCTCAGTCTAAACATGTTTTTTGTGATATTTCTGTCACTTTAAAGCGATATAGCTGTTATATCTTATTGTCCTCCCACTGTTTGCATACTATATTTTGTCACAGACACTGGAAGGGTGCCAGAAAGTTAGAGGAATTTTGAAATAGTGTTGAAATATCAGCTTCAATTTGAAGATGTTAATGCTTCCATATGATTTTCCGCTATGTTTAAGAAACAGAAAGAATTAAATTAACATTGTTTATAAATGATCCAGGGCAGTAAAATTACTATTGGACTAAACTGTCCAAACCCACAAACAGAATCTTGTTTTTGTAAATATAGAAAAAATAATGTATGTATATTCTGACATTTTTGTTACTTGTGTGTTAGAGTGGTATTGCTTTCATTTTGTGTTGGTAGGAATGATGCTCCAACAGCCTGTGCTAATGCACTATTCAACTTCTATAGACGTGTGAAGGAAATGGTACAAACAGAGCACATAGTTCTACCCCACGGAAAATCTAAATTTGTGTTAGAATTCAAAGATTATAATTAAAGTGCCACATTCTTGGAAAACAAACTGAAAATGGTCACGTGTTCATTTATGATAGTATAATAGGGAAAATGTGTCTTCTTAAATGAATTCATAGGGCAGTATTTTAACAGACTGTAATGACTGGGCTGTTTTTATTTTCTTGCTGTTAATTCCGCAGGGATGAGAAATATTTCTAAATAAAAAAACCTTGTGATGAACTTCTCTCAAAGTTTGAGAGTAGTAAAATACAAAGTGTAAAAGTTGACTGATGTTCCAACAAAGTGAACTCAAGCTAGCATTAATGAGAAAGTGTAACTTCCGTTGTCCCTTTCAGAATAAAACTAAATTGTTTCGGAGTTGTGTTTTTAACTAAAACGTGTTAGAATCTTAGACAGAATAGAGAGACATAATACTAAGAAATGAAATAATACATAAAACAGAACTGTTTCATACCAGCAACTCACCATACATTTATGATTTATTATCAATCATTTTGAAATAATTATTAAATACATTTAAAGTATGAAAATATGTCAAGGTTGGGAGAAACAAATGTCTTTAATTTGACATCTATGAGATTAACGCAAACGTGAAATAGCTCTTCCTGCGTCTCTTTATGTTCACTATGTTTGTTGTTTGTGTTATTCGATTTAAGTGAGCGCATTCAAGTTAGAATTGGTGTTTGACACAACGTTAATTATTATATAACGTTACGTTTAGGTTTTAATCATCTGTATATAGGTTTTAATGCACTTCCTGGATTTTGACGTCTGTTAAACAAATTATCAAAATATAGCAATGGTACTCAAGGGGAGCAAATCACCCAATGGGTAACGATATTACTGGCCGTAAACCATCTATGAACCAATCAGAGGCGTTGGTGCTGGTAGGACTTTAGCGGGTACACTTTCGACAAGTCTAGCGATTTTGAGTCGACAGCATAGCGAAGTTGATGAGCATTGTTTTGGTAGAAAGACAGAAAGTCTGTGGGATTGAAATATGGTTTTAAATAGTATCGTGGATTTGTTTGTATAGTAACGTTGGGTTATGTCTTAAAAACAAGACACTGGCTTTTCTTCCAGCTCGTTATTTTCTTACTTCGCGCACTTAATGCTACTTGTCACAATGCTAACTAGCTAGCTAATGCTAACGAGCGTTAGCATAACTGAACACAGAATTTAATGGTGCATTGTGGTGAAACATTATCTTTTTTTGTCTTCACGTCAAACGGCTCATAAACAAGAGGTAAGGCACTTGTGAGTGTGTCGTAATGTGTTATAGTGCTAACCTTTATTTCCATTTGATAGCTTTTTGTCTGTCATAAAGCTAACCTCAATATGTCATCAAGCTTCGATCACGTCGTTGTTTACCTTCACTTACTGTTGTCTGACTGTTAGTTTCGTTTCTTAAACCACGGATAACGTAATGCTCATGTTAAATGGCGTCGTTGCTTGCCCATGAAGTATGGGGTAGTATTAGAGAGTCATAGCTAAATTCACAAACATATGGCCTTCTTTCAGTGTATTTTACTGTCTATATGAAGTAAAACTATCTACAAAGGGAGGGAGAATATCAAACAAACTATTACACGTATCAGAGGTACAGAGCCGCTGAAGGGTCATTATATAGTTAGAGAAAATACTTTGACGTTTGTGAGGCGAGCCACGAAAAACAACGCGAGTTTTATTTCTTTTGTTTCACCTCACAAACGCCAAAGTCCCGTCCCGTCCCCCCCCCCCCCATTAACAATCTACCATGTCCCTTCAGGGGCTCCGTACATGCCCCACACCTACGACTAAAGTAGTCTCGCACAGCCAGACCCTCTTTATCTACAGATATGTATACAGTGTATGAGCCAGACCTATGAGTAGATGAAGAGAACCAGCACTGTTGGCAGAAGAGCCGTCACTGAGATTACTCTGAGCAGTATGCATATGGGAATGAATTACAATATAGTAGATTTGAAAATATTTCTCACTTTTATCCCTGATGGTCTGAATTCATGAATGCTACTCGCAGTCTAACAAGAACGTCTAAAAGTACTGTACTTTAGTAAAATATTGAGGTACTTGTATTGAGTGTTTCCATTTAATGCTACTTTATACTTCTACGCCACTACATTTGGGAAGCCAATATTGTGCTTATTACTCCACTGCATTTATTGGACAGCTTTAGTTACGAGCTTATTTCGATTATTAATACAAAATATACATCAGTTATTTGTCACCAGTATTGTTATTAAACCCACCAATTCCCTCATGTTCCACCAGAACACTGCAACTTTCATATTGTTTGATCTTCAACATCCTTCTGCTTGTTTGACATCTTGTACTTTCAGTTGTCCTGATCAACATTCTCCCTGTTTTTATTTTCTGAAAGCAGAAATCACCAACGTTTTGGATGGCGGTGGCTCCCGCTTCGATGGCGGATAAGATCATCGTCCTTGATGATGATGAAGAGGAGAGGCCTCAACCCTCTTGCTCAGCCTCGTCCTCTCATCAACCAGCCAAAAAAGTCTTGCCACGCAGAGCTCAGCAGCCTGCCCCCCCCTACCCACATTACCCAGTCGCCTTTCGCCTCAGTGAAGAAGGACACGCATGTTCTGCAGGCTGAGAATCAGAAGTTGTTCACTGAGGTGAGGTTAGACGGTTAAGGGGCACAACTGAGTGTGTTTACGCAAACCTTGTCGATTATTTAGAAATGTGACAATATAATTGTTTGGCTTTCTGCTAGAATAACAGTGGTAAATGTCCAGTCCAAAGTATATTAACCTTTGGCTGGTAGCTGTTTATTTCTCTCCTTGATGGAATTGGGGGTATTGTATGAAATGGCAACTAATATACACGCTGGAATGAAAAGCTCCCTTTTGAAGAAGTCATGAAGCCTATTCCAGTGTGCTCATACTTTTCACTTTTCATTGCATTGATCTCTGTACCCCATGATAATGTAGATACACAAACGTCCATTGTAACTAATGACGATACTTATAAATACCAGATAGTCGTAATTATAATGACACATTACATTGAAACTGGAACAAACCTGAATCACAAAGTGCTGTTGTACGTGTTCTTAACGACCTTTTACAGTTTGTGAAAATGAAGACATGCGCTAGTGTGCGCACGCAGTTATGCAACAGAATTATGCCGGATTGCAATTGCTTGTCAAGATATGAAAGCGCATCAGCCACCAAAGGTCGCGGATGCAACCTAAACAAATTGACTTTCTAGATCTGTGTGCTGGTAGTGATGTGTGTAGATTACATTAGCAAGTGGCCCAATATTTAGTGGCTAGATATATTTTAAATACATGCTCGTGTGTTTATTATCTATGCCAACCATAAGTTACTACGAGCAACCACGGACGCATTCGACTGAAAGTCACCGGTTAACTCAGTCACTCGTTAGACTGAAACGGTCGCGATCCTGTCGGAATTCCCCAGAACTTGAGTCCACTGTTTGAACATCTATTCTGACAACCGACCATGCAACAAGCAGACATTTTGATGCTGTTAACAGTTTTAATTTTAAAAAGTGTCAAGCTTGCTAACCGGTCTGGACGGCCAACATGCACACGCATGTATAGTTTTGATGATGTTTGCTGTAAGGGCGTTTATCATTTTTCCTCTCTCTCTCCCTCCTCTGTCACCTTGCCTTGTCATCATGGGTGTTTTCTCTACTCCTTCATCCTAGTTCGTGGAGCACTGCTCAACTCACACCCAGGACTGCCCCGAGGTCTTGACCTTCCTCCAAACCAAGCATGCCAAGGCCTCCCCAGAGTATCTGTTCTCCGTGGAGTTCAGGAACACCTTGGGACGATGTCTGACTCACACTCAGGCAAACCGGTCCAAAACCTTTGTCTACATCAATGAACTCTGCACTGCACTCAGGAAGCATGCAGCGAAGAGGAGGCAGGCCCTCACCAAGGTTGAACCCGGGCTTTCTACCTCATCAAGTTCTGTCCAGTTTACCTCTGATTTGCCCAAAAGGAAAGACGAGAGTAAAGATGAGATGAATGAGGAAGAGGACGGGGTAAAACCGGCAGCGGGGGATAAGCAACCTTCCACCTCAGGGCTGCAGGAGGGCAACAACAAGGAGGGACCGGAAGCAGAGAAAAAGGCAAAGAGGGCATCCAGGAAACAGGTTAGTGTTGAACACTAGACATGTGATGAATAATTAGAAATAGGATTTTTATGGCACTTTTCAAGTTTCTTCAGTGTTTATGAAGTACTATTCATAAAAGTAGAACAGATAAAGATCACATTAAAGAGCATAAAAGTATGAATGATGAATGTGATGGGTTTGTGATGGATTTTTTAATGTATATTGGTTTTTAATGGACACATAAAGGTATTTCTTTTCAGATTTTGATCAGCTTATACAATGTCTTTAATGCAATTAGTACCTCACTAAGGTGTAGTTGTCACCTGTTTTTACTTGGTAGCCTAGAAACCATTAACCAATCGCAACTAATTCTTCTTTTTCCTTTCATCCCCGACATACAACTTGATACGGGAAACACAAGCAACCAGGATGAATCGCCTAAACTTATGAGTCTGTGTCGGCAAACACACTGACCCTTCACTTTCTCAATTTCTCTCAGATAGCGTACCTGGAGAACCTGCTGAAGGTGTACAACGACGAGATCTGCCGCCTGCAGCAGGCCGAGCTGAATTTAGATGACCTGGGAACTGAGGACTCTTTATACATCCAGGAACACAAGCTCAAACGCAAGGTGAGCCTGCAGGTTGATTAGGCTCAGGGCTCCACTGCTGATAAACACGGCTGAAAGCTGTCAAATGCCAGGTTGTGTGACCGCTAGTCACACCTCTTCTTCTGTCCTCTACTTCTTCTCTTCCAGATGATAAAGATTTATGAAAAGCTGTGTGAACTGAAGGAGTGCAGCACACTAACGGGCCGAGTCATTGAGCAGAGGATCCCCTACAAAAGCACTCGTTATCCTGAGATCAACAGGAAGGTGAGCTGGTGGTTGCTTTAGTCCGTTTAAATGTCCTGGACAGTAACAGGCTGGGTGAAACTTAGTGTGATTGGGTTGTTTTATCTTGATCCTGGCTCCCATAGTAGATGTTGGTAGTGACCTCTGACCCGCTTAGGTATATCTTAAGTTCAGCAGTATTCATTTTGTATGAGCTGACACCAGGTTGTGCATCTACCATGTTAAATGTCTCACAGCTGAACTCTTATTTGCATGAACAGGATTATTATTGCTCACAGCAAGATTTGATCACTATTACTCTCTTTATTTAGGTTTTCAAAAAGCACGATACAAAACAGAAAAATGCAGAACCCCAAAATGAGTTGATGTAAATTGGAACTATCCAGAGTTTAACTTTTATTTCTATTGTATCAATAGTTATATCTTCATGCTTTTGAAGCAGGACCTTCAGTATTTGGATAAAGTAGCTCATAAAAAAAAAAAGGTGTGGCAAATTTAGTAATGAGTCAACAGCTGTTATTTCAATGTGTCAGATACATATTTAATCAACTTTTGGGGGAATATAAATATCACACAAGACGTGATAATAATACGTTAAGGGAGTCGGAGCGGGATCAGTCAGAACGTCCTATAGAAGCAAAGTGACATGAGAAAACAAAGACATAACTATGTGCCATGCATGAACTGGTGATGTTGGAGAAGCTGTTGCTGTATTTTTACGTGGGTGAATGTGATCGGCTCCTGATCCCTTGCCCTACGTTTCTTCCTCCCGTCAGATCGAGCGTTTCATCAACAGTCCTGAGGCGCAGCGGAACCCTCCGGATTTCCAAGACATCTTCCAGCAGGTGCTGCGCGCTAATGAGCGCCACAACCTGTGCCTGAGCCGAAAACAGCTGGACCAGATCGCCCAGGAGGCTTTCAGAGAGACCTGGCGCTGCATGCAGGAGAGACGCCACCTGGACCTGGTGTACAACTTCGGCTCGCGCCTCACTGACGCCTACAAGCCTGGTGAGACTGTCTGCCGGTTGCTGTGGCAGACTTGACTCTTAGAATGCTTTGTTCTGACGTTACGCAGGTTATCAACACAAATGCACCACAAGAAACCTTTATTTTCTGGTTTGAACAAACCTTTAAGGGCGATCCCACTTCAACAATCACCCAGTGTCTCGTGCAGCGCATTAGTATGGATAGAAATGTTAATGTCGACGTCTTCAAGGGTTTGGAAGTAATTATAGTTGACACTTTCTTTGGTCTGTTGGTAAACACAAAAAGATTAATAAAGTTCAATAAACGTTCCAGCTACTCATGTACAGCTCCGTGCTACAGCTATTCCATAAATTTGTCTTATATGAAGTGCAATTCTTTCCACCCTTGTTTTTAAAACGCCTACTTTCCTCTCAAGGCTTGAACAACTTTTGGACACTTTGTGTTGAGTGTATAAAACATGATTTACTGCGTTAAAGGGCCAGGATGTAGCATTTCAGGGGATCTTTTTAGCAAAAATGGAATTCAATATTCATAATAATGTTGTTCTTGAGTTTGTAATCGCTTAAGAATCTTGTTTTTGTTAGCTGAGAATGAGTCCTTCATATCTACACAGAGAGCTGGTCGTCTTCACGGAGTCCACCGTGTTGCACCGTCATGTTTCTACAGAAGCCCACAAAGGGCAAACCAAACACTGGCTCCATAGAGAGCCTTTCATTTTCCTAAGTTACCCGGAGGCCACCGTAGTTCTCCGACACGCTTGTGAAACTGTGGTAACGTGAGCCGCAGAGTGCAACACCGGTGTACCGTGACCTCCGTTGCTCCTAAAGGAGTGTTGCTATGGTATGTAGGCAAATGATGTTACCCTGGTTTTGCATTCGACGGCTCACGTGACCGCAGTCTTGGAAAGGGAGGAGTCAGTGGAGGGGTTAGTCTGCAACCGCACCTCTAGATGCCAAAACATCCTTCACACTGTCTCTTTAAGAAGTGCCGTGTCTTTACATTTGACTTGGTTGACGGGACCACACTGGTGCAAAGACAAAGTTCTATCTCTCTTTGCCCATCTCTTATCTGACTCTTAATTAATTGTCCTCGCCCTTGCCTCATCTATCCCTTCTCCCCCCCACCCCCCCTCTAAAGCCACTGACCCGGCTCTGGAGGACCCCTCACTGCTGCGGAAGCTTCGGTCGAACAGAGAAGTGGCTCTGTCCCGTCTCGAGGAGGTCATCACCAACTACGCCATCAAACAAGAGGACGCGGAGGAGCAGGACAGGGCCAAACGGCTGGAGAAAGACAGCAAGGAGAAGGAGGTAAGAGAGCGTCTGTGGAAGGAGGAAAATCATCAGTCTTCTGCTTTCAGTGTTTCACATGCTTTTGGTTTCATTTTTATGTATGAAAATGTGTTCCTGGAATTGTTTTATCCCTATGATCTTTGCATTCTCCACAGTAATGCATACAATTATATAGAAATAAAACTCAACATTCGAGAAATATATTATGATACATATATCTTGCTTCTGACAGCTCTGTTTCTTTTTAAAATCCTGTTTTTCCTTGTTTGACCCTCACATCTTATTTTCAGACCCACAAATCAGAAAACGGAGAAGGAACTAAAGAGGTGAACGGAGTGGCAGAGGTGGAGGAAGAAGAGGAGGTGGAGGAGGATGACGATGAAGAAGATGAATCATCAGACCCAGACATTGAGGAAGAGATCCAGGCCAGCACCCAGCAGAACGGACCAGGTAAGAGCAGAGATGTTCACTGAAATTTCTTTTTTTTATTCTGAAGTTTCAACAGTAAATCCAGTTTCCTGCCACTTTTAAATGATGTTAACATATTTCTAAGACATATTTTGCTTCAGTTTTTAGACTAAGTCTCTCTGATTGTATTAGTGGGAGCGACGGAGAGAAAAGATTTCATTGCATTCATTTCCCTCTTTCTGTAGACGATGACGAGGACGTCGGTGACGAGGATGTCGGTAACGAGGCGGAACCAGCGTGTGAAGGCACCAACAAGGAGGATCAGACGGATCGGTTGGCAGGAAGTGTTTCTGCAGGGGAAGAAGAAAGCGTGAAAGATGAGGACGACGAGCCAGCAAGTGGACTCAGTCCTCTTTCTGATGAGAGCAAGCCCCAGATCTCTCCGCTGGCCGACCTCCCCTCCCCCAGACAGAGCCCCAGCCAATCAGAGCCAATGCAGACTGATGACCAGACGCTGCTGTCTAATGGTAACCATGCAGGCTTAGAGGAGCCCGTGGATTCCTCCAATCATGTTTCAGTCGTGCTGGTAAGCACCACCAAAGTCACTCAGGACCCTGCAGACGTTTCTCCGGCAACAGCCAACGGGGTGTCTTTGCCGCTGTCGCCAGCGGTCATCGTAGAAAGTTGTGTCACACAGACGACCAACGGCACGTCGCCGCCGCCAAGCCTCAGAGCCACGAGGAGCCAGAAGAGGAAGAGGGAGGAAGCGACGTCAGGGAACTCCCGAAATAATAAGCATATACTCGTCCACGACAGGTACTGAAGGCTTTGTTACTCATAGATTAGGACTGCATGACATGGAGAAATATGTGACATGAATGTATTAGATATTGTTGCTAAAAAAAGTATATTGACACTGCAAATCATATTTGCAGTGTCAATAAATATGAACTTAACTTAACTTAGACCAAATGAAAAACAGGAAAGAGGAGCTCAGGTGAACTGTTTTTTTTTTAGTGTGGTTGTATGAGCTTCTTATTCAGACAGTATTACCTACAGTAGAGGGCGGTCGGTATGCCCCCTGTTTGGAGAAGGACCAGCACAGATGCAAAGCAATGCACTGCTGTGGGCGGGGCAGCAGCAAAACTTAGTTTAGACACCTAAACAAGTCAATATCAGTTCATGTGTACGCTATATTTAGAATATTTTCACAGCTTTACTTTGCTGCCAGACAGCCCTTTCTCAACAGGAGCTGAAGCCGTTATTTCTGCTCTCTTCAAAGCCACCAGACTCTTCTGACTCACAGTCATAACACAAACTATCTAACGATCAGTGCAGCGGTAGACCAGCAATTCCTGTGTTTTCAAGGTGAAATTACTGATTTGGTCAAAGCAGTCTGGTCCAGGACTCAACCTGGTCTTGTCTTAAACAACAGCACCTGTGTGATCTCTCGATGAACGTCGACGAGTCAGACTACTACTTATTCACCAGCAAATCGGTCAACAATTTAACGAAACAACACATCTGTATTTCTCGATTTTCAATGATGGACTTTTTGTTCAGTTCTAGTTTGCATCAGCACCTTTTTAAGCTGTGCTGTGTGCTCAACACATACTCTCACTGATGAAGAGGAACAGAGGTTGAGATAAAGTTCACTTAGTCTGGGACTCCACAGTCAAGAAAACAGTAATGCATTTAAAATGCCACTTTAGTTGTAGCCCTAGTGCTCTTCAATTAATAATAATATATTATTGTTTGTCTGGATTAAAGTTTCGGCAAGTAATTTAACCTTTTTGATTTTCTTTTACCTCTGATATTCCCACAAAAACTCTTTGTCGTCGTCCCCCCCCCCCCCCCCCCAAACCTGTTCCCTCCCCAGTGAGGCAGACGTCCCTCTGGATATGGGCGTTTTCAGCTGCAACTCTCCACAGCAGGCAGAGTCAACCCGAGCAGACACTCCAACCAATGAAATGGTCAGCAGCTCTCAGTCGACTCCACCCCCCAAGAAAAACAAGGTGGGTGCTCATAGAAAGAGGACAATTTCCAGGTATAGTTTATACGTGTGTGTGTGTCTCACTATTAAATCTTATTTCCATATCTTTTTTATGATGATGTTCATCATTATGTTATACAGCTGTTTCTCATCCTTTATCAAGGTCACATCGATTACATTAGTAATTAAAAAATAGTACGGAATTATTGTTTTTACTGATTTTTCACCCAAAACAACAACAACAACATTTGAAAGACAAACACATCAGTTTAAACCGACGTTGACACATATTTGATGTGTTTCCTCCTACAAGTAGTCGTTGTCCTCCACAGTGTTACGGCGTGAGTATCTCAGGAGATGCTTCTAAAATCAAAAGTTCAAACAAGAGAATGTGAGAGAAAAAGGGCTCCAGACAATGACTCAAATTAAGAATGAAATGAAATACCGGTAATCTGTGTCTGATTTTCACCTGTTTAATAATTAAATTATACAGTGATAAATACAAGAAAACATTGAGCCGTGATCACACTGTACTCACTGAGTGTGTTTGTTTCCAGGTCAACGTGGCCACACAGTGTGACCCAGACGAGGTCATCGTCCTGTCAGACTCTGAGTGATTGGTCCACATCTCGCCTGTATTCTGGGTCACGCGGAAAATCAGCGGATTTTTAAGGACCGTCCTTGTCCGCTGGCTTGTCAGGAGAGGAAGAAGCTCAATTTTTTCCCCCAGAACTTGTGAAACTTAAGTATGATCCAAACCGACAATATCAAGTTTTTACTAAATGCACAACAGCCGTTGGTAGCTGTGGAAGACGGAGAAAACTATGGATTTAGTACCTCATGTCACTTGATTACATACAACCAAACAAAAGCCAAGACAAGTGTTTTTGTAAAAGACTTAAATAAAAATAATTGTAACCTAAATTTTGAAAGAAAGCCGTTTCAACAGGACTTGATTTTGTTTTTGTAAAATCAAGGAGTCCTCGTGTTCAGCTGTGAACACCAGAGAATACAGTTGTCACTGTCTCAAAGCAGAGAGGCATCGGCTGGTGTTTACCTCGCCTGTCTTCTCTCCCTTTTCGGGTGCAGTAAAGATGACTTCATCAGAAGCTATTGGGTGATCCAAGCAGCCAAACGTCTGTCGCCGTGTTTCCTGCCATTCGGTGCAGCACTAACAATGCGTCAGCTGGCAGTAGCATTGAAATAAGGAGAACTCTTGTTTGAGGGGTTGAGGTAAGAAACCAGTGCCTGAAAACATGACCTGTGCAGCCGGACGCGTGGCCCAGACTGAGACTCGACTGGCGAAGGCTTCGGTAGCTCACTGCCAGTTTGTTTACATTTTTATATTTCAATGGTATGTTTTCCATAAAGAGGAGCAGGGAGGTAGTGGGCTGTATAAACGGAATTGTGAGATGCCATTGTTTTACTTGCTATTTATGATGTGCATTGAGTCAGTGAGCTGTTTGATAATGGAGAACATTTTAAAACTTTGTTTTTTATGTTCCCCTCCAAACATGTTTCTATTTTTTAGGTTTGTAATGAAGTAAGTTTTATTCAGACCCGTGTCTGCTGCAGGATAGCTGAATAGTTTCCAGATAGTTGTTGGTTTAAATGACCAACGTTGACAAGTCTCATACACAAATGTTTGAAGGATGAGCTTAAGCAATATTCTATATGTTTGTTATTGTCAACAAATCCCGTGTAAAGACCTGAACAGTTAATTGTTACTAAACTCTGTATCCCAAACCTGACATGTCTTCTTCCTCTGGGCCACAGAGCTCAATTGTTGTACACAAACTATCAAAAAAACAAAATAGCTGAGGAACCAATGGTCTTTGAGCTGAGAGCAGTAGTCAGTCAAAGGTGGACGAACACATTGATGGTTCTGGTCTTCACATGGGATCTGTTGACATTGAGCCTTATCCTTTAAGTAGCTATAGCACAAAAATGTTTCCTTGTGATTCTGACACGTTTTAAAGCAAAAGGGGAAGTTTAGATTGAAGAAATTCTTTAATGCACCTCCATCAGAGTTGAGTTTCACCATGACACTGCTAAATTCAACCTGTGCCTCTGCCCGGCCCCGATAACGACATCTATTCACCCGGTCCGCAGTTTAAGCCCAAACCACAACTTGCCACGCTAGCATTTTATTCTGACACACAATGGTTCACTTTCATACAGATAATCATCATCTGTTGGCACAGCTTTTACATGTTGGTTCCCTCCTGACCACACACTGGATACTCTGATACATTTAGCATTACACTTTACATTTCTGCATCCCTACCGTATTTAACATCACGTTTGTTTTCATGAAAATCTTTGAGTTGATCAAACACAGTGTTGCACTTAAGATGTCTCGTGTTTGAAAGAGATTATTTTGTGGCAGGTATGTTTTGCATCCTTTCATTAGAACTTGTTGGCTGGCTGGTCCTCGTGGAATACAACTCTGGGTTTTTTGGTGAGGGGATATTTTTTATCCCAACAACAATCCCGTTTTTCTCTTTTCCTCCTGAATCCCGGTTTTGTTGTCTTTCCCACACAGGTGAAATAATATTTCGGGTAAATGGTCTTTTCAGACTTAATAGAATGTAGACCTGGAATGTAGTTGTCATAGCTACTATCTATCAGGCCTCATTTATGCAGTGGAGTGATCCATGACAAACTGTGATTTATTTTATTTTTATTTTTTTTTTCATTTTTGATAAATAAATAAATGATACTTTTTATAAATATATATACACAGCTGTGTGGCTTTTCTTTTCTGTGTTTGGATTTGAAGTTCTTGAATATAAATATATAAAATACATTTTTACATTATAAAAACTTGGTATTCTAAGAAGGCTGCAGATGAATATTTATTTATTTAGCTCATTTGATTTAAAAACAATTTGTCTCAGCTGGTTGATATTTCTGATGCGCACACAAATGCTTTAAAATAAATGTAAAGGAAAATGACGAATAAATGTGTGTAAAAATTTTAAAATTTCATCAAAAACATATTTGGATGTTACATTTATATACAAACTGTTGAACCTGCATTTACAAACTGCTTGTCATGTTTGAACTTCACTGCATTTGTGTGTTTGACATCGCTTGAGTCACACATTGTTTTCAACAAGGAGTTATCTGTATACATATATACATATATTTGTGGATTTAGATTACATTTCTTATTTTTTTAGATGTGGATTTTGTTTACATTTATATAATTATATTTATATAATGTGTATATATCTATATATATATATATATATATATCTATATATATATATCTATATATATATCTATATATATATCTATATATATATATATATATATCTATATCTATATCTATATATATATCTATATATATATATCTATCTATATATATATCTATATATATATATCTATCTATATATATATATATATATCTATATCTATATCTATATCTATATATATATCTATCTATCTATATGAGTGATGAATGATACTCGTATATGTCCTTTAACACTCAATACACATCACTCCACATCTGTCGTACTCATCCTTTGCTGCTGCTGTTTTGAAATGTATTTCTTATAGTTTTGTTTTGCGGAGCTTATTTTATTCGTTGTAAACATGTTTTAAAGTCTTAATACAAAGCACCGTTTGAAGCTGACGCAGCTGCAGTTCCGTTGTGCTTTCATAACTACGATTTAGTTCTTAATTGATTGATAT